TGAGGGGAGAGAGAGGGGGGAGAGACAGGGGAGAGAGAGACGGGGAGAGAGATGGGGAGAGGGAGAGACAGGGAGAGAGAGATGGGGAGAGAGAGAGACAGGGGAGAGGGATGGGGAGAGAGAGAGACAGGGGAGAGGGATGGGGAGAGAGAGAGACAGGGGAGAGGGATGGGGAGAGAGAGAGACAGGGGAGAGGGATGGGGAGAGAGAGAGACAGGGGAGAGGGATGGGGAGAGAGAGAGACAGGGGAGAGGGATGGGGAGAGAGAGAGACAGGGGAGAGGGATGGGGAGAGAGAGAGACAGGGGAGAGGGATGGGGAGAGAGAGAGACAGGGGAGAGGGATGGGGAGAGAGAGAGACAGGGGAGAGGGATGGGGAGAGAGAGAGACAGGGGAGAGGGATGGGGAGAGAGAGAGACAGGGGAGAGGGATGGGGAGAGAGAGAGACAGGGGAGAGGGATGGGGAGAGAGAGAGACAGGGGAGAGGGATGGGGAGAGAGAGAGACAGGGGAGAGGGATGGGGAGAGAGAGAGACAGGGGAGAGGGATGGGGAGAGAGAGAGACAGGGGAGAGGGATGGGGAGAGAGAGAGACAGGGGAGAGGGATGGGGAGAGAGAGAGACAGGGGAGAGGGATGGGGAGAGAGAGAGACAGGGGAGAGGGATGGGGAGAGAGAGAGACAGGGGAGAGGGATGGGGAGAGAGAGAGACAGGGGAGAGGGATGGGGAGAGAGAGAGACAGGGGAGAGGGATGGGGAGAGAGAGAGACAGGGGAGAGGGATGGGGAGAGAGAGAGACAGGGGAGAGGGATGGGGAGAGAGAGAGACAGGGGAGAGGGATGGGGAGAGAGAGAGACAGGGGAGAGGGATGGGGAGAGAGAGAGACAGGGGAGAGGGATGGGGAGAGAGAGAGACAGGGGAGAGGGATGGGGAGAGAGAGAGACAGGGGAGAGGGATGGGGAGAGAGAGAGACAGGGGAGAGGGATGGGGAGAGAGAGAGACAGGGGAGAGGGATGGGGAGAGAGAGAGACAGGGGAGAGGGATGGGGAGAGAGAGAGACAGGGGAGAGGGATGGGGAGAGAGAGAGACAGGGGAGAGGGATGGGGAGAGAGAGAGACAGGGGAGAGGGATGGGGAGAGAGAGAGACAGGGGAGAGGGATGGGGAGAGAGAGAGACAGGGGAGAGGGATGGGGAGAGAGAGAGACAGGGGAGAGGGATGGGGAGAGAGAGAGACAGGGGAGAGGGATGGGGAGAGAGAGAGACAGGGGAGAGGGATGGGGAGAGAGAGAGACAGGGGAGAGGGATGGGGAGAGAGAGAGACAGGGGAGAGGGATGGGGAGAGAGAGAGACAGGGGAGAGGGATGGGGAGAGAGAGAGACAGGGGAGAGGGATGGGGAGAGAGAGAGACAGGGGAGAGGGATGGGGAGAGAGAGAGACAGGGGAGAGGGATGGGGAGAGAGAGAGACAGGGGAGAGGGATGGGGAGAGAGAGAGACAGGGGAGAGGGATGGGGAGAGAGAGAGACAGGGGAGAGGGATGGGGAGAGAGAGAGACAGGGGAGAGGGATGGGGAGAGAGAGAGACAGGGGAGAGGGATGGGGAGAGAGAGAGACAGGGGAGAGGGATGGGGAGAGAGAGAGACAGGGGAGAGGGATGGGGAGAGAGAGAGACAGGGGAGAGGGATGGGGAGAGAGAGAGACAGGGGAGAGGGATGGGGAGAGAGAGAGACAGGGGAGAGGGATGGGGAGAGAGAGAGACAGGGGAGAGGGATGGGGAGAGAGAGAGACAGGGGAGAGGGATGGGGAGAGAGAGAGACAGGGGAGAGGGATGGGGAGAGAGAGAGACAGGGGAGAGGGATGGGGAGAGAGAGAGACAGGGGAGAGGGATGGGGAGAGAGAGAGACAGGGGAGAGGGATGGGGAGAGAGAGAGACAGGGGAGAGGGATGGGGAGAGAGAGAGACAGGGGAGAGGGATGGGGAGAGAGAGAGACAGGGGAGAGGGATGGGGAGAGAGAGAGACAGGGGAGAGGGATGGGGAGAGAGAGAGACAGGGGAGAGGGATGGGGAGAGAGAGAGACAGGGGAGAGGGATGGGGAGAGAGAGAGACAGGGGAGAGGGATGGGGAGAGAGAGAGACAGGGGAGAGGGATGGGGAGAGAGAGAGACAGGGGAGAGGGATGGGGAGAGAGAGAGACAGGGGAGAGGGATGGGGAGAGAGAGAGACAGGGGAGAGGGATGGGGAGAGAGAGAGACAGGGGAGAGGGATGGGGAGAGAGAGAGACAGGGGAGAGGGATGGGGAGAGAGAGAGACAGGGGAGAGGGATGGGGAGAGAGAGAGACAGGGGAGAGGGATGGGGAGAGAGAGAGACAGGGGAGAGGGATGGGGAGAGAGAGAGACAGGGGAGAGGGATGGGGAGAGAGAGAGACAGGGGAGAGGGATGGGGAGAGAGAGAGACAGGGGAGAGGGATGGGGAGAGAGAGAGACAGGGGAGAGGGATGGGGAGAGAGAGAGACAGGGGAGAGGGATGGGGAGAGAGAGAGACAGGGGAGAGGGATGGGGAGAGAGAGAGACAGGGGAGAGGGATGGGGAGAGAGAGAGACAGGGGAGAGGGATGGGGAGAGAGAGAGACAGGGGAGAGGGATGGGGAGAGAGAGAGACAGGGGAGAGGGATGGGGAGAGAGAGAGACAGGGGAGAGGGATGGGGAGAGAGAGAGACAGGGGAGAGGGATGGGGAGAGAGAGAGACAGGGGAGAGGGATGGGGAGAGAGAGAGACAGGGGAGAGGGATGGGGAGAGAGAGAGACAGGGGAGAGGGATGGGGAGAGAGAGAGACAGGGGAGAGGGATGGGGAGAGAGAGAGACAGGGGAGAGGGATGGGGAGAGAGAGAGACAGGGGAGAGGGATGGGGAGAGAGAGAGACAGGGGAGAGGGATGGGGAGAGAGAGAGACAGGGGAGAGGGATGGGGAGAGAGAGAGACAGGGGAGAGGGATGGGGAGAGAGAGAGACAGGGGAGAGGGATGGGGAGAGAGAGAGACAGGGGAGAGGGATGGGGAGAGAGAGAGACAGGGGAGAGGGATGGGGAGAGAGAGAGACAGGGGAGAGGGATGGGGAGAGAGAGAGACAGGGGAGAGGGATGGGGAGAGAGAGAGACAGGGGAGAGGGATGGGGAGAGAGAGAGACAGGGGAGAGGGATGGGGAGAGAGAGAGACAGGGGAGAGGGATGGGGAGAGAGAGAGACAGGGGAGAGGGATGGGGAGAGAGAGAGACAGGGGAGAGGGATGGGGAGAGAGAGAGACAGGGGAGAGGGATGGGGAGAGAGAGAGACAGGGGAGAGGGATGGGGAGAGAGAGAGACAGGGGAGAGGGATGGGGAGAGAGAGAGACAGGGGAGAGGGATGGGGAGAGAGAGAGACAGGGGAGAGGGATGGGGAGAGAGAGAGACAGGGGAGAGGGATGGGGAGAGAGAGAGACAGGGGAGAGGGATGGGGAGAGAGAGAGACAGGGGAGAGGGATGGGGAGAGAGAGAGACAGGGGAGAGGGATGGGGAGAGAGAGAGACAGGGGAGAGGGATGGGGAGAGAGAGAGACAGGGGAGAGGGATGGGGAGAGAGAGAGACAGGGGAGAGGGATGGGGAGAGAGAGAGACAGGGGAGAGGGATGGGGAGAGAGAGAGACAGGGGAGAGGGATGGGGAGAGAGAGAGACAGGGGAGAGGGATGGGGAGAGAGAGAGACAGGGGAGAGGGATGGGGAGAGAGAGAGACAGGGGAGAGGGATGGGGAGAGAGAGAGACAGGGGAGAGGGATGGGGAGAGAGAGAGACAGGGGAGAGGGATGGGGAGAGAGAGAGACAGGGGAGAGGGATGGGGAGAGAGAGAGACAGGGGAGAGGGATGGGGAGAGAGAGAGACAGGGGAGAGAGAGACGGGGAGAGAGAGATGGGGGAGAGGGAGAGAGAGAGAGATGGGAGAGAGAGAGACGGGGAGAGAGAGATGGGAGGGAGAGGGAAGGGGGAGAGAGAGACTGGGAGGGACCACTCCCAATAGGGCCTCGCTGCCAGCTGTGTCACGTGTGCTCTTGGCCTGCTCACGTGAACTGTGCAGGATGGACCAGTTAGAGCCCTTCTGGCGAATGGAGTTAGGGCCCGTTGGCCTCGTCCCGAAGGGCTCCTGCTGGGACTGGGTTTGCCCTGAACCGTGGCTCTGCCGTGGCCTTCCCAGACAGCGCAGCCTGCTGCTGGGCCGTGTGTGTGCGTTTCCCTCCATACGGAGCCACTCGGGAGGGTGGGAGGGAGAGGCGCGTGTGGGGAGCTGTTGGGGACGCGGGGCCCCCAGCGCTGTCCCTGCCACCGCCCCATGTGTGGGTGAGGTGGGTTTGCTTCCAGCCGTCTCGAGAGAGCCGCATCTTTGTCGCTGGTTCCCTCGTCTGGCCCTGAAGGAAGTGGGAGGCCTTGTGGGAGCGTGCGGAGTTGGAGACGCACACTCCAGACAGAGGCCGAGCGTCCGCCCTCGGCAGCAGTCGGGCGCCGGCGTCTGCTGCCCGGCCCTGACCGGCGCTGTCCTGGCGTGTGGCAGGCATGATGAGGCCTACACCTGGACCAACCCCACATGCTGCGTGCACAACGTCATCCTCGGGAAGCTGTGGATAGAGCAGTACGGCACAGTGGAGATCCTGAACCACAGGTGGGCTGGGGGCACGGCCGCGCGGCTTCTGGGCTCCGGCGCCTCCTGTGTGGGGGTCAGCGTCAGGAGAGGACCGCGGCCCTGCCCCGCACGGTCGCCGGATGCGCAAGTTCCCGAGGGGTTGTCTTTGTTTTTAGCAGCATTAATGAGACCATTTCTGTTTGGGGGCCACAGGTACATGTAGATGAGGTGCTGGACTCCCACTTGGCTAACCGTGGTTCGAGTCCCTGACCCGCAGCTTGAAAATCACATTGGGCATGTCCAAAATCCCGGGGGAGGGGAATGGAGGAGAGAGGATTCAGCGTGGCCATCCCTGGGTGGGGGTTCTCATTCCCTCCCCGTCTGACTCCGGCAAACACACGTGCCCTGGAGCAGAAATCTTAAGAAAAGCTCCCGCTTCATGAGGACACTGGGAGGGTTTTTAGTGAGCTTACCGAGTTATCCATCCCTCACCACAAGCCGTCACCCAGGAAGGCCCTCCTGCGGCTTGGCGGCTGCTCCCAGGGCCGAGCCGGGCGGCCTCCCCAACCCGCAGGCCTGCAGACATGCTCTGGGCCCGCTCACCGCTGTCTGTTGTCCCCGCAGGACTGGACACAAGTGCGTGCTGCACTTTAAGCCGTGTGGCCTATTTGGAAAAGAGCTCCACAGAGTGGAGGGGCACATCCAGGACAAAAAGTAGGTCCCATGCAGGGGCCCCACGTCCACTTGTGCTCGGGCGTCCCAGCCTCCGGCGCTGCCCGCTCTGGGAGAAAACAGCTCCTCTGCGCGTTCAGAGAAGACGCCGGGGCGCTGAGGGTGGGCACCAGTGTCATTTCTAGAGGGGCAGTGGGGCCCCCCGCCCAGAGTTTGAGGCCCCTCCTTGTGGCAAACTTGAAACGAGCAGCCGGGACCCCGCACGGGCTCCTGGTGCCCCCTCGCGGCCGGCAGGCACAGCCCAGCACTGCCGTGTGCCCCTCTGGCTACGTCTGCCCCCACCTGGGTGCTGTGGGCAGGGCGGCACTTCAGGAGTGCCCTCACACACTCTGCCGGTTCCCCCTTTGGGCTAATGTCTTTGTGTTTTGAGTTTTAAGTTTTTCTCATTTTTTTTTTAACTTGGACCGGACTGTGTCGCGAGCCTCCCCCCAGCTCCGAAATCTGTACCTTCTCAGTGAGAAACTCGCTTCCAGTGTAGACAGTGTGGCTTTTGCTCAGCCCACCTTCTGCCGGTTCAGTACTCTCCTGTGTGGCCGGGCTGGCCCCGTGGCCCTATGGGGCAGCAGGCCTGTGGCTGAGCACTGTGGTGACTGGCACCTGGGGCAACCTCTGCCTGGCGGAATCAGCCCACGGAGCGGCTGCCACCTGTCTGTCCATGGAGGGGCCATGGGAGTGGAGGCTGGCACGCCAGCCCGGAGAGCC